TCAGGATGTTGCCAAACAAGACTGTCATCTCCTGGGTCAGCCTCGAGCAAGCAATGTCCTGAACCGCCTGCATGCAGGGTTGGGTCTGCGACTTCCAGTGCACCTTATCACCTGCCGTTTCATCCTTCACATGTCGCTGCAGGGCTTTGCAGTGGATTTTTTAGGTGAGGCACAGCGTGCGCGGAACTGGCCCCACCCTTTACACCTAAGGTTTAACTGCCAGGGCCTAGCGAGCTTGGACGGTGACAGCAAAGTCCTCAGGTCGTAGGTTTGATTAGAGTCCTGTAAGGCCATCCATCTAAGAGAAGGACACTCTGTTTTTTCTGTATATCACATATATATACAAATGTACTTTCAGAACTTGCTGGATTAACACTTTAACATATGGCTGTTCTACATTCCAACAAACAGCTCTTCTACTCCAAGACCCCTGGAAAGAATCACAGTTTATGCAACAAAAATAATTTAAAGAATGCACCTGGCACAGATGGGCCTCAGGTACAATGCTGCAAACCACTGTACTCCGTTAATCATGCCAACAACACAAGTCTTCTGAACCGCAGACTGTGCCAGATAAATCAGTATGATGAAATTCCCTGCTGCAGATTTTCAAGCTTAAGTAAAAGGAGATCAAAACTTAACACACAGGTGATCAAATCTCAGAGTAAAAGGCTACAAAAAGCCTTGACCCAGGAAGAAATTTCCCATGTATATTTAAGTTCACGGCTTCATAATCCAGAAGTCACATGAATTCCAGAAGTTCTGTATCTGGGTATTTTACACATAACTGACAGAGGGCTATAGACACCTGGAAAAAGAAAATTGCTGTTCCACACAGTTTTTTGAATTTCTTAGCCAGTGTTTAGCCATAGAAGATACCAGCACTCTAATTATAAGGAAGTGACGTTTTCAAAGCTTTCAGGTAACAGTAAATGGACATGAATGACAAAACTCTGGGTGCAGAAGTACACAGAAACCATGATCCACATGCCTACTAATTCTTGCAAAACAATCTCAATATCCTGACATGTAGGGGCCCATGTGGGCTACTCAAGCATATGCAACAGGCATTCATAGAGTCTTTAAACTTGTGTGTGCATTCATATGCAGATGAGATAAAAAACTGCCTGCAAAAAGAGAAAATGCTAGTATAGCTATAGCAACAAAAATTTATAGTAGAAGTGCTGTTTATGCCATAAAAACATGGCTTTGATAATACCATACACTAATGACTGTGATATGCATATATTCAAAAGACAAAATTGCACCTAGAGCCCTGCTACAGCAGTTGCGTCCATTAGAAGCGGCATGGTATTTCTGACTTAAAATTCTTGTCCAAAATGCCTGCTCCATGAAAGTATTATCTACCATTCCTCAATGATAAATAAGTTGAAGGTATAGAAATTGCATAAGTTTGAAAACCTAACAATACTCTGTTTATTGTACTACAGTAAAGAATAACGTAAGATACTGCTGAGCAAGGTCTTTTTGCAGAGTATTTGTTACTAATGCCTTTTTTTTTCTGCCTTTCCTACAGTTGCAATAGAAGACCAAGATACATACTGAAAAATTGAAAGGAAAGATCATCCACGGAACTGCAAAACAATTCACAATTAAATGTCACCAAACCCCACAATAATACAAAGTAAGAGAATTTTAACAGTCTTTTGTGGGAAGGCTTTGCTCATTTATCTTTAAAGTTTCAAATTTAAACTTCATCAAGAATCATAAATACGTATTTGGCAATATTCAAACCTTTAAAAGAAGTCTAAAGTAAACATTAAGGCAGTAGCTGTATCAGCACTAGGAAGCCATCACATCTCCTTGTAAAATAAACTCCCATGTTTATTTTACATGCTTACCAGCATGTTATTATGTAAAACAGCAGCTCTTTGGCCTAAGGTAAGGTCAAAGCTACAGACTCCACAGTATACTAGTAGCCAATATAAACACCAGGCTCACAAAACAGCACCTTGAATGTGCAAAATGGAAAGATATGCATGTGGAAATTTGATATAAACAAACAAACAAAAATAGCCAAGTGCCTATAAATACATACATCATTTACTACAAAGAGACGCAGAACACATTGCTGGTTTGGGCAGTGGTAACTTTTTATCATCAGAAAGGCATTCCTCAGGGTAGTTACCAGTTAAATTGTGACAAGAATAAGCCTAGTCTTAAGGTTTCAGACAGATTCCATTATAAAGTCACACTTCAATCACTTCTGTTTTGAGAAAGGAAACTGGCCAAAAATTAAAGAAAATTCACTTAAGGGAAAAAGAGAACATTTTCCCCCCTCCAGCATGGAAAATTACACAAACATCTATTCTTAGGAAGATTACAGAAAAAAGCTGACACAAAAAGAGAAATATGGGGTTTGCTTAGTATCCTGGTAACATGAAAATTGCTATGTTGCTATGTGTACTACAAATGTACCCCATGTTTGACAATTATACTATCAAAATTTTAAATCATCTTTTTGAAGGAAAAAGAGCAACCATGATTCTTTAATTTCATCAAATCATAGAATCATAGGACAGTCTGGGTTAGAAGGGACCTTCAAAGGTCATCTAGCCCAACACCCTGCAATAAGCAGGGACATCTTTGACTAGATCAGGTTGCCCAGAACCACATCCAGCCTGGCCTTGAATGTCTCCAGGGATAGTGCATCCACTGCCTCTCTGGGCAACCTGTGCCAGTATTGGACCACTCTCATTGTAAAGAATTTTTTCCTCACATCTGGCCTGAATATCCACTTTTAGTTTAAAAGCATAACCCCTCATCCTATTGCAACAGGTCCTGCTAAAATGTCTCCCCATCTTTCTTATAAGCCCCTTTTAAGAACACAATAGGGCCGTCATAAGGTCTCCCTGAAGCCTTCTCTTCTCCAGGCTGAACAATCCCAACTCTCTCAGCCTTTCCTCATAGGAGAGGTGTTCCAGCCCTCTGATCACTTTAGTGGGCCTATCTGAAGTGATATAGTCAAGAAAAATAAAGGATCAAATAGCTGACAGTTCTACATAATGATTTTCTGTTGATTCAAATTTTTAAAATTGGTTGGGTTTTTGTTGTGGGTTTTGTGTGGTTTTGTTTTGTTGTTTTTGTTTTTTTTAACATATGCTGCAGTACATTACCATAGAATCATAGAATAGTTTGGGTTGGAAGGGACCTTCAAAGGTCATCTTGTTCAACCTCCTGCAATAAGCAAGGACATCTCTGCAGCTTCCTGCTAGTATTTAGACAGGAAGTTGAGGAGACCCTGCAAGGTCAGAAGCCACACTGAACAAGAGCAGAACTGGAATGACACTTAGCCATACATTAAATAAAAGTAAAGACTTGTTTGGACCAAGAGGCTTTCTGTTAGGCTGAGAACAGACTTTCTTTGGATAGTGTCATGGCTTTCTTTGCATAGTGTCATGGCAACTAAATACCATGCAGACTCACTCTCCCCAACCCTCCGATGGCATAGAGAAGATTATCAGAGAAAAAGACAAGACTTGTGAGTTGAGATAAGAACAGTTTAATAATTGAAATAAAGTAAATATAATAACAACAATAATAGGGTAAAGAGAGAGAGGAATAAAACTCAAGAAACCCAAAACACAATACAATTGCTCACCACCTATTGACTGATAGCCAGCCCAGCTTCATGCGGCGATTAGCAGCTCCCCCTGGTTTCCGTACAGAGCATGGCATTCTGTGGTATGAAATACCCTTTGGCTAGTTTGGGTCAGGTGTCATGCTGCTGCTTCCTCCTGGCTTCTTGTACCCTTCCTCACTAGCAGAGCATGAGAGACTGAAAAGTCCTTGAATTTACAGTCAGTGCTGCTAAACTACAACTAAAACATTAGCGTTATCAGTGTTATTCTCATACTAAATCCAAAACACTCCACTGTATTAGCTACTGGGAAGAAAATTAACCCTATCCCAGCTAAAACCAGGACAGATAGGAATTCCCCATCCCTTTTTTTTTACTCCAGAAGCAGTTGATGCTGCTGTTTCTACAGTTATCACCAGCCTATCACCATTATTTTTATTCTGTTTTTATCTTCTGCATAGCTGTACTGACACTTATTCACAAGATACAATGAGGCACGAAAGGTGAGGGAGGTTTCTTTTTTCTCTAGAAGACCACAGACCAAAGGACATTTTTCAGTGAATGAATAATTCATAGTTTCATCTTCCTCTTAGAACAGAACGTTGCAAACACAACAGAAGGGATTACCAGTATAGGAAACTGAGTCCCAGTTTTTGAAACGATTTTTACATTAAGAAATACAAAAATCATATAAGAACTTTATCCAGAACAGAGCATAGTGGAATGTTACTGAATTATCCTCCTAGGTTAGGCAAATAATACCCAATTACTCAGTTCACACTGAGTTATTCTGATTCCTGTATATTTTCTCCTCCTGTTAGCAAACCATTTTCTAACTTGTTCTTTTGGAAGATGTATTTCCTGTGAACAGATGTCATCACATTAATCAAAATAATGTAGAATTACATTTTAACTGGAATAAGAAATCATAAGTAAGTCTTCTCTTTTTACTGTGCAAAAATTCCATTATTATTCTACCGTATTTCCAGAGTACCTAACATTTCAATACATCCAGCAGGTAGGATCATCACACCTTTGCTGTTGTTCAAAAGAAGACTGAGCTATTAATTTTTTCTACTACTGTAAGCATGCAACCTGATGTTAAATTTTTTTTGCACTCAAAATTTCCATCCATTTAGCAATCCATTAAAAGAAAACAGAGCATCAAGCAGAAAAGGAACACTGGTCTGCTTTCTAGAAAAACATCAAATAACTCAGAAAAAAAATCAACTGGTCACTATTTAAGAAACAGGAATTTTTAACCTGCAAAACAGACATCTACTAAGATTTTCTTTGTTATTTCATTTAGCTAATACATGTCTCTGCAGTTCTAAAATGAAAAGCAAGATAGAACACACTGTTTAATGTAGGAAAACAAAACAACTTCATATTTTCTTACCTTTGCATTATAGGGAATATAATGCTTTGATAAGGCTTCAGGAGTGTGCATCCATGTTTTGTCTACAGAAAAGCAAAATAAAAGAGGCACCGAACAGGTTATTCACTTGTTAATTATTATTGCATCTATATAGAAAAACATAAAGAAATCTCCTTTTACCCAGAGAAGTACCTGTCTGAAGTAGTTACTGGGGCTTGAGGGAAATGCAGCATATCTCACAACTTCCAAAACATTACATGAAAGAGCATTACTTCTCTTATGGACATTTTAACCAACAAGGTTTACCATAAGAATTCCAACTCCTCTCCCCCCAGATATATTTATTGGTCTAAGGTTGTTTGCTGTTTCTGCCTCAGATGAGCATTTTCTGCATCCTGATGTTGTTTAAAGCACTGACTGCGTATCACGCTTCTAATTATTGGATTTTGATGAATTATGTACTTTTTGATGGATTATCAAAATGTTAACAGGACAAAGGAAATTATTTGGGGAAAAATATCAGAGCAATAACTGCTAGCAAAAAGCCCTAAACCTTCAACAGGAGAATAGAAACAAGTCACACTGTGGTAACTGATTCAGAAGTTTAGATCTTCTTGAGTATTTGCTTATATATCCTAAATGAACGTGCATATTTTCCTTTCATGATTGTCACATCACAAGACTGCACTATTGTATTACTTTTCCCATTGCATGTTTCATATGGTGACACGATTCTATGATTATTTTTAAATACATCTTCCCACCTTGATTTTAATGGTCATTTACATTCTACATAATTTAAGGTGCAATTCCAAATATCAGAAAACACTAATTTTTATTAGAAGTTTACAAACCTTGTTTAGAAAGTTTTCTCATTTAAAAGAATTTAAGAAAAACAGATGTTCCAAAATACTAAATTGCATTACCAACCTCTTGAAAGATTCTGTAACTTAGTATTTTATACTCCACACATTCAATATTTAGTCTTTTCTACTACGAGTATTTTTACTACTCCTATTTTAACTAGCATGAATTAAAGTTAGAAATCTGTAACTTTATTCAAATAAGAAAGAATAATAGCTTAAAGCAAAATTCTACCCTTGAGTATTCACAGACAATTCCCCTTGCCTTTAATTGAAGTTACAGCAATTACTTTTTTGTTACACGTAAAAACAATAAAATCCTGTTCACTTGAAACTGCTCAAGAGCAAAAAGTGTGACATTTATTGACAATAAACCAATAACTAAACATTTTTGAATATACAGAAGCAAAAAACACTGCTAAACAAGATATTTGCCATAGTCACCGCAGTACCAGGTTCAAAACTGCAAAGCTGGAGGATTATTTTTTTTCTTTAAGCAGATTTCATTCTAGATTACAGTAATGTTCAGCTCCATTACTAAAATGTGGTATTATCACTTCTTAATTAAGCAAGCATGATTTTTCCATTCAGCAGCACCCAGGAGTAAAATTATGCACTGAAGTGGCTCTTCCTTTCAATTGTTGCTCCTGACTGAATACTGGAACCAAGATCTACACTCGTTTCCCAGAATATTTTAAGACCTGGAACTTGGTCTCTATTTTCAGTACAACATCAAAAGCTGATGTTATCTACAAATAAAAAATAACAATCAGTATTAATTAGGAATGTAGAAGAAAGCCTGATGCTACAGAAAATATATGGACTCAATCAGAGATCAATGTAATCAGCCGTTTATTACAAAGCCTTAACTCCTTATATACTATTTCTTACATGCACTTACACTGATTTGGCATATTATGATTGGGTACATGTCTTGAAGACCCTTAGTGACTAACATATAATTGGTTAAGCACAGGTGTGAGAACTTGACCTCGAAAGTTTGCCAACAGTCCACAGTTCTCATTAGCTCGGTGAATTCCAGCTTCTTCTCATCTTGCTTGCTTAAGCTTCCTCCGGCCTCTCATGGCCTTGCTGTATCTTTCAGGATTATTCAGAGTTTATGTACCAATTATGCATTCTCCTGTGAGAAAACTACCTCCACAGCCTGACATCCTAAAAGATAATTCTAAGCATTGTTTTTTTAGGTCAGCGCACTGCTGAAGGCCAGACAAGCAGACTGGTGACTGGCCTTAATGGCAAGAGGCACAGAGGAAGCTGGCACATAAGGCAGGATTACTGTCTGCTCCGTCATGCTTACTGCAGCAGAGCAAAGACCTGCACAGTGCAAATTGCAACTCTGAACTGTGCATTCACATCACTAATGTCAATGTTTTATTTACCCATTTCCTACATGCTAACTGTTCACTAGCTTCAGCAAGTATACTGTGATATTTATAAATTCATAAAGGAAAATCTAGTAAATATAAAAACATTGAACCTCTTAAAAAAAAAAAAATAATACCAAAACCATTCCTCCATTCATTTCACGCCTAGTACTAGCACAAACAAATGACAGGGCTGTAGCTTCTGAAGCAATTTTACAGGCAGACAACTGATTACACAGGTACCAGTAAAACTAACTGCTCTTTGCAAGTGCTTCCTCCTTCCTTCTTCCCATTCCCAAATAGGGCAAGTTCAAACCTGAAAAAAAGGTGATTTTATTCTGGAGCCAAGTTTGAAGTGCTGGTCTTAATTAAGTACCTGATAATCTTCCCAATATAATTACTGAGTAGATGGAAATCTTTCAAATATTATTATTAGATACAAAGCTTCACTTCAAATGTTTTTGTGAAATCATCCACTTGCCTACCAACGTCAATCTGCAATCTTACAGGGATTGCAGCAAACACTTTACGCTGCTAGGAAAGTGTTTAAGTGTTGGTACCCCTATTTAGGGGGAAGATTTAGAAATATGGATGTGTTCTCCCAGCTGAAAATGAAATCAGTAATTTAGCAGAGTACCAAAAAGATGCCTGGATTCTACAAGTCTTGTGCCATTGATTAAAACAGTGAGTTGGCATGCTACATTTCCAATAACCAGATGTGGATCTGCACAAACTGTGACACAGATACTGAAGTTTTCCATTGACACTGGAAGCCCATTTCCTGGAGGCAGGTAATAATTACAGAATGGTGGCACTTCTGAAAGAACTCTTAACACTAAACAAAATCTACAGTAGAAAAATTCACATTGATAGCACAGATATGGAAAAAAATCACTCAAGTTACTATGGGGAAGTTTGTTACTTGCATTTCCTTCTGAATTCTAAGTTATGATGTTGGATTTGTGTCACTTTCAGTAGTTGTTTGAAATACTGCTTAAAGTTAGTTTGATTTCACAGCAGTTGAGCAATACCAAATTCCAGACATTTTGCATCCAATAAACTAGAAAAATATGAAAAACAGGAATTCAGTTAAAACTGTTTAAAAGTATTTTAAGAAGTATTCACTTAAGTACCCGATGTAGATGTGGCTTGGGGTTTGCATGATCCCTCACTTTTTAAATGGGTTTTCACAGCTTACTACTTAATTATTCGTTCCGAAGCAACAAAAAAAATATGAAACCCTACAATGAAAATCACAGATTATATTATTATTTTACTAGTTATGGATAAGCAAGAGTTCTAGGCACTTCATAAATAAATAAAACACTACGTCCTGAAGGACTAAAAGCCAAGATAAAACCAAAACTGACAACTGCATGCATCTAACATAACAGTACTACAAAGTGAAAAGAGACTCATGCTATCACATCAGGTGAAAACTACAGTTATTTTTAGATTTTGGCTGAAAGTCTTAATCTAGGTTGCCTCCACACTTACATTAAAGTTTAAGTGCCTGGTTATTTTTGTAGATTCAGGAGTTTGAGCCATCCAGAATCCATTAAAACCTAAGTAGAGTTTAGCTTGAATAAGATATGAGAGATTCTACAAGGTAATAGCCTAAGTATGAGTCGATTTTGCCAAACATACTGGCACTGCGAGGAGAAAAGATGGGTAAAAGGATCACTGCTCAGGATTCAAGAGCACAGGTTAAGCCACAGCCCTGCTTAAAGACAGTAATCTTGTAACCTCGCCTCAACACCTCTTCACATGCATGGCATACTAACTGTGCAGCACAGCGGGCTTTTTGAGAGCCCCCGTAGCAGCAGCACAGCATCTCAGCCAGTTTTTAAGAGAATTTGGCTTGAGTGAGAGCTTCTCAGGTGTAGCTCCCTGCCCGCATACAGTAGCCTGCTAAGAGCAGTGAAAAAAATGCATAAAATTAGCATTCCGAAGATCCAGGGTTTGACAGACAGAATTTCAAGGGAGGAGGAGGCAAGGGGATGGGCACTTTCATGGTCAGAGGATTAACTGTCCTCAGTATTGAGACTTCACTCCTCTCTAGACTCCCTTAAATCACCCCTTCCATTCTAAAAGAAAGATTCTTTTAAAATATGCATGTCACTACAACTGCTACGTTATCACACACTCTGGGAGCACCAGTGTGAGTCATTTCAGAGCCCTTGGCAGTGCTGGGAGAGCCAGGGAAGAGGAATGTGCTGACAAATCACACGCTGAAGTCAACAGACTCAGGAACTTTATAAAGTACCCATAAAAAATGTGATGCACTTAGTGGAGGATGACACTAGGTTAGATAAAAGCACAGCTGACCACTTATCTCACAAAAGGGAAAGCAGTAACAGTGGTGAGAAATTATTCTCTGAGATTAATTTCCCCACACATTACTGGCCACAGCTATAGAACAGATTGAGTAAAGAGGCACTGATGTACTATTTTCTATAAATGGCAAAACAACTCTCAACAGTGCAAGTTTAGTTAACTGCCTCCCTGAATTCCACTCATGTTCTTTTTATTTAGTGCCACAATGAAACTTCTGAAACTGAAATGAAACAATGAAAAGTCATTTCTTGAAGGTAAAAAATACCACGTTCATTCTTTACTGAATCGAAGTACCTCTGACATCAATGGATGTCTTTTCTTCCTGCTATAGAAAGAAAGATCTTATGTGACAATCATCCTAGTAACAGTCTCCTGAAGGGGAGAGTACCCCATGAGATCAATGCTACATGTAGGTACTGATGCCTCAGGAACAAATGGCTTATTTGCTTCAGTGTGTGTACGTATGTATCTACATCTTTCATTTTTTCTAGATTATCT